CATGAATAGATCATTGCCTTCTCGGCTGAACTATTCGTTATAAATTCCGTTAAATTCAGTAGTGTACCATATTTGCGATTTAATAGAACTAGACGTTCATTATTTCGTTCTAATAGTGATCGTTGTTTTGTCAAAACGATACTTTGAATCTGAGCTTTTGGATCCGTAATAAAGAAAAAAGAAAATATCATGGCAGATGATGAAATAATGGTGAGTATCCATGTAACGCGTTTTCTATGCAGTACGATACATTTGTGTAACATTGAGACACTATCAGGGTTGCCAAGTCCAAATTCTAGAAATCAGGAGTTTTTCCTTAAAGAATAAGGAGAAAAATCAGGAGAGTTTTTTCTTTAAACCAGAAGAAAAGTACAGCAGTGTCATGCACTTTTCCAAAAAAGCAAAGCTTTTTATTCTCAAATGTTTACAGTTTTGGTTCTTAATAAGTGATTTAATAAAACGATCTATCTTACTGAGCAAAACAAAGAAACACATAAAGATAATTACACATCGTTTATTTTGCTAATTATTTTGAAGCTGTACATTGAAAAATACAAATAAAACTGATATAAGTGCGTCTTAAGAGGCCGCTGAAGAATCGAAATAGAACAGAGTAAAGCACGTACATCCTTTTATGGTATCATTGCTATACGTTTGTAATTTTATTCAAAGTGAATTTATTTGTTTAATAATTCTACATTATTTCAAAGATTTTCTCATTTAATTTTGAGCTCGACATCCATTAAGAGTATTTTTTTATTCTATTCCTGTTATCATATTGTCAACTTTTGTTTAACTGGAACTTTGACTCATGGTTAGTTCTTTAAACTCATTATTTATCGATCCATAGTAGCACTGGAATCGGATCGAATCTAACAAGATCGACAGGCCCGTAGAGATAAAAATTTTACGAATTGAAATTTCTCAATAGCTTCTTCTTCGTCGATCATGTTTCTGGTGATAAAAAAACCTAATATAGCGTACACATTACTGGTGGAGTTGGTAATATATGCTCTCTGAAAGTATACTCTCGCACAAAACTCTTTCCTCTATTTATTTCTTTTTTTATCATATCTTGTGTAAAATTTATTGTCAAGTGAAACATAACTTCAGAGTTTTATTACATTGTGATCATTTTATCATACTGAAATAAAACGCTTCAGTCATATCTCTATTAGACAAAAAATTTTATACAAAGTATCATAGCACAGAAATAAAAATGGTGGATAAAATTTTTTGTTCGTAGGTGTATCTCATATTTCGATTCATATTTCTAGAACGTTTTTGTCAAAAAAATTAGAGGTACATGACACTAGTTTGGCGCTACCTAATTTGCTGTCATATATATAGTTGTCTACTCTCTTTTTTCTCATTTTTTGTACATAAAATGTTGTCAAAACTTAGGTAAGAAAAGAAATAAAAATTCAAGAGGTTTGGCAACCTTGGACACTATATAAGTGTGCCCTAATAAAAGCATAATAGAATACGTGAGTAAGCAGAAGTATAAAAACATAAAAAATTCATAGAATGATGTGTAAAACAAAACAGACAAAAAAAATACTCTTTCATACTTACTAAAAACAAAACATTGCGAAGAATAAGACGAGAATAAACCGCAAATGGCTGTAAAAGCTTTTTTAAAATTTTGATGAAAATATTAATAACATCGTCAATATTGATCTTCACTACCGATCAACAGTAGTATTGAGTTGATCAACAAGAGAGCGTATATATGAATTAATTGACTTATTCTGTTCTTTTAAATGATCGATTAAAAAATCTTGATGATAGTAATGATATGTGACACGCGACATTTACGCTTGTATGTCCCTACAGTAGAAAGACTATTTGATGAAGGAAGGAGACTCTAATACAGTCTATTTTCTCTCTTACATTTTTTCTTAATGTTGAAATTGACCTGGGGACTTTTTTGCATGAAAATAAAGAAAACTTATCCTGTTAGTGACGCAAATTGATTGAGATATTTATTAATGTACAATTTCATATATGCCACAATGATTAAAGAAGCCTTTCAGGTGCAACAGAAAAAGAAAAAAATTTAATATTATTCTGTCTTGCTTTTAAAAATATATTGACATTGTGAGAAAGAGAAAGAAAAAAAGAAACAGCCCAGTGAAAAATTGTCAGATTATACCTTATTATGTAAGATTGTAATCGAATTTTTGTGCGACAAAATCAGGATTTTAATCGATTGAAATCTTTCAAATCAACAATAATTCGACTTTTAATCAAAAAAATCTTCTAACTTAAATGTAATTTTGATTAAAACCATACAAACTTGATTTACTATATTTATAATCAGAACTACACGATTTTAATCAAAATTATATTTGATTTAGAAGATTTTTTTGATTAAAAGTCGAATTATTGTTGGTTTGAAAGATTTCAATCGATTAAAATCCTGATTTTGTTGCACAAAAATTCGATTACAATCTTACATAATGAGGTATAATCTGACAATTTTTCACTGGGAGTACGAATTGAATCAAAACAAATTTCAATGGAATAATTTACATAAGTTTGTCAATAACGAAAGAAACATGTGATAAAAATACATGAAGATGAATCTATGCATTTTATGAATAAATTTGGAATTTATTTTGACATTGATGAGGAGGCCATGAAAAATCTCAACTTGATAACAGTTTTTACTAAATATTTGAGCACAGATATCTGATCTCTAAGAAAGAAATTAGATATTTACTTTGATATACGATTCATATTTGTCAACAGAAAGCAAATATCTGATATTTACTTGTAATATTAAATTTGAAGAACATTGCTCAAGTATTATATATAAAACATAATATAGTACTTATAATTTTAAAAAATCATCAGAAAGCAGATATTTGATATTTACTTTTAAAATCAGCTTTGAACAATGAAAACCAATCAAATTCTATGCACTTACAAAATTGATCAGAAGAAAAAAATCTGTTCTGTATTTTGTTATCTCGATCATTATCACTAAAAAGAGCTACTTATAAGATAGTTAGAAGTAAATAATTGATGGAGACAAAACTTTTTCTGTATTCTTGAATTTGTTAATTATTTCTAAATTTATATCAGCACTTGTTCTAGTCTAGTATGATGTAAGAATTCGAATAGAATAATATTTAAGAACAACTAAACAGCAATCTAAAGAGTTGCCTTAGAATCGAGGCTGCATGTAGTTTTGACAGCTATCTATCAACTTCAGTCTTAAGATGATAGATATCATATTCGTTCAAAACATCGGCATCCTTCATATTTTAGAACAGAAACAAACAAAAATATAAAGTTGAGGATGTGGGTGTAGAGAAGAACAACAGATGTCTATACTCACACCCTTTCTTATCAGCTACTGCTAGCTATTAATCAAGAACTTTGAACTTATCTGGTAAAAATATTTTCTTGAGTTTACGAACAACATTGGAGTTAAAGTGGCCATTGTGTAGTAGAACCATCAACCTTTCTCTTGTTACTTCGCTTTTCATGCAAATAAAAACAGTAGTTTTACTGGTCGCATGAAAACTGAAAATATCTGGATTTGTTTCATCTTAGCGATAAATTCAGGAGAGAGTGTAAGCCTGTTTCTAATTTTTCTGTTTAGTAAAGATAGGTAAATTGGAAATGACTTTATCAGTAGAAAGAGCATTCGAAACATCATAAAAATACTGATTGAGAATACTTTATTTCTTTTTTCAAGCCAAAAACAAAAACAAGGAGAATAGAAATCAACGAGAAACTATCGCGTAAATATATGGAAAATGATCAAAAGGCTAATTTATTTTCTTTATAACTCATCAACGATGATAGATAAAACCATGATTTGAGCCATAGATATAGATCTTGATCGATGGATACTTTGAGATCAATTTCGACCAATATAAACAAAAAAGTGATTGAGAATTTAATTTTGACACCGAAGTAGTTAACAGACATCAAAATTACTTATATATACATTGTATTAAACCGTTTGACAAAGCAGATTTACTTAACTCCATTCTTCCCATAAATAGGAATCAGCAACACTTTTTTGATCTAAAGAAAAGAGAGTAAAAATTCAGAAAAGATCAAAATCAAGTTGAATTATCATACAATAGCTCATCTTCTTCAGATTGCAATGCCTTTTCAAATGGCGGCAGGAAGCCCATTTTTAACTTTCCATCAACTTTGTAATGTCCAAATTGAGATAGATTACCCAATTTTTGCCCATGTTGAACGCCATATCTTGCAAATTCCATCACAAGATCTTCATACGAACTTTTATTCTTCATCCATTCATGCCAGTTCTTCATATTTTCCCATAGCTGTAAAGCATCAAATGCAGCTTGACTCGCGCCAGCACCAGTATGTGGTCGAAATGTAGCCAGTGCATCGCCGAGTAGCACGATTCTACCACCATAATAAGTTGCTTGTGGTGCAAGAACATCAGTGATAACTTGAACGATAGGCGACTGCGTTATGTGAACTAACTGTGCAAATTGAGGTGGAAGATTATGAGTCGCATATTGTTTTTGATTTTCCCACACTTTAAGCTGAACTTTACCAATAGGTAATGTCCAACGATGCGTTTTTCCATCACAATCCGTGAGTATTTCTGATGGATCTTCACAATTGCAGTACCATCCCCAATTTATCAATCGATTTCCTTGATCTAGTGCACCATTCTTACCGGGAATAAAATAATAGAAAAACTGTATACCAGGTGCATGAAAGAATGTGAAGCATTCGACGAAAGACGATGCAAGTAATTCCGATGCTTCTGATTCAAGAATTGTGCCTCTCCAAAGAACGTAGCCAACGTATTTTCGTTCTAGGTATGGATTTAGTAACGTTCGTATGTTACTCGATGCTCCATCTGCTGCGAGTAAAATATCAGCCTTAATTGAATTTTTTTGATTCTTTTGTTCGTAAATTATAGTTATTCCATCATTGTCTACTTTCATATCACTCACGTTTGCATCATAATCATAAATTGTTTTTCCACCTGCTTGGTCTGTTCCTTTACAATACTCACTTTCGAGTCCATCGAAATTCGCGCGTAGAATATAATACATTAAATCCCAACTGGTCGTAGGTCGAATCCAATCTTCTCGATGTATTTCGTTACCATGAATATCAAGATAGCGACGAAACATAGACGGTATAATAAAATTCCGACCAGTTTTGTCAAACTTGTCCATATAATCTCGAAGTTCAGGGCCTACGGATATACCAGCTCCATTACCTTGATAATAACGTGTAGGATTTCGTTCTAAGATATGAACATTATGACCAAGGCGTTTGAGTACCAAACCTGCAAATAGGCCTGCGAGACTTCCACCAACTACGATTATATCCATTGTGTTGATTTCGATAGTGCAGTGTCTTGTTAATGACAAAGCAATGAGTGCTCGTACAAATTCCGCTTCAACTAAAAAAAACCAATTTATACTCTCACACAAGCATTAGGAAACAAATTTCTATGAGAACGCAGTCTGTGGGTCTGAAAACATCTAGCCTTTTTTTATTCTGTGGATACATACATTAAACTATTAATTAGTCTTAGCAGTTAAATAAAACCTGATTGTTATCTTCTAATTTTGTTAATGTATCTAAATTTCGTAAGATACAAAAAAACCACTGACCACTGTAAAAGAATTATAAATGAAACAGTACTCTAGAACTATGTTCAGTCACACAAAGTCAGAATAATTGAGATAGTCATTTTCACGCATGAATACTAATCTCAGCTGTAATTTTAGGATTGATGTGTCTATCAACAATAGTTGTCACTTTTGAAATTACTTACTTATGACTGAGATAACCGTTTGACTAGTGTTTATTTAGATTCACGTCTAGTTTCGTTACTCGTTGAATTTGATTTTTATTTCAATATAAAAATTATCACACACACAAGCATTCGTTCCTTCTTATATATTGGTATACCATATCGAAGTCACACTGAGCAGCGTGATAAATGGATGAAAAAAAAAGGAGAAAGAAAAAATATTGAACTTGCCTATTGACAGATGTGAAAAGTGACGAATTATCGGACTGAAAATGACAGAATGAAACTTCAAAAGCTATTATTAGCATGACAAATGGTGGTTCATATCGAAAGAATGACGTGAGGTCAAAAAGTACGCTTTATATTTCTAAAATCAGACAAATACATTGAATTTTTTTATATGAGTTCCATTCAATCATATTCATTCTTTATCACCAGATCACGTATTAAAAGTTAAAATTTTGCGATGAAAAACACTGTTTATGAAGTTGTTACAAATTTTATTAAATAAATAAACAATGAATATAAATTATAGCGAACATCTAGAATGAATGTCATTTCATAAGAATAGATGTACTTTCATGTATAGCATGTGTAATTTTTTTTGCGCTCGTCTTACTGCACTTGAAGGTAGAATTATCTATATTCAACATTTTATCCTTTTTTTTCTTTTTGATATTTCTCGATGAAGTTAAAGGAGTATGGGTGTAGATCCATACCCATAATCTCTTGAATTACCCATACAAACTGAAGTTCTCCTTACACAGATTCTGAAATACTTTTTAATATGGCAATGATTTCTTGCAGTCTCAAATAATACTGTGTCAAACGAAATTTACATTAGATGTTAGTTGTTTGAAAAAAAATTCGATCATAACTGGCAGTATATGTGAATAGTAGAAAGTTTTACGTATGAAAAGAATCGAAACTGGAACTGATTAAATGTCATTGTATAAATTCTTAGTCATTACTTATTTAAACTAGATATGAAGCGACCTAACTTGGTGAAACATCATTGTCTTTTTCTAAATGTTGACTCAATTCAGAAATCAAATATTTAGTATTACGTCAGTCCATATGATAAAATTACTCTAACTATAAAAGTGACATATATAAAGAATGTTTCATAAACTTCACTCTTTGTTTTTTTTTTTTTCAATATTAAAAATTAAAATCAGCATCGATAGTATTTATTCAAAGAATATAAATATCTAAGTGATCGTCTAACATTGATTGTAATTAATCGATATCATAAATAAGAAAAAACGTTATTGAAAGAGAGTGTGGGTACCACAATAACTTTTCATCCACATCCTTCTATACAAGAAAAAGTAGCAAATGGTTTATAATAGAACAATATTTGTTCATTTTACATATTATTTGATTATGAAAATATTTCAATATATTTATTTCGAAAAGAACGCAGATTTTTATTTAAGTTTGTGTGTTTTTATTGTCATGCGATTTATTTGTTGCCATTTTGCTTCGAAGTTTTGTTTCATTATTCAATTGAGTATGTGTCGCTGTCAAAGGAAATATTTTATTGTTCGTATTACGCTTTAAACATAATAATTTGCCGAATATTGATTCATTTCTAAATGTTCTAAAATAAACTTCTGAATAATAAATAAAAAGAAAAAATGTAATTGATTGAGGTATATAAATAATTAAATTAGCTGATGTATTTAATCGTAATAACCATTTGATAGATATATCTACACAGGAATATTTCAATGAAAGTACCAGTTGAGGTAATGTGCAGACCTTAACAAAAGAAAAATTCTTTAATTAATTAAAAACAAAAAGAATTAAATCTAACCATGGCTATGATTGGTGCAACAAAAAGATGAGAATGAGTATGAAATTCTTTTATCCATTGTTTCCAATAAGTTGTTCGATGAAGAAGAGCTCGTCGACGGCTAATTGATGTCAATATTAAACAAGTTGATAGCAGATGTAAGAAAAATGGAATAAATATATGTAATGTTGAAAATATTTGATTTAATATTAGTAGTGCATTTGGATATTTGATTTGACAAACAAATTTTCCGGGTGCAACTGGATCTGGTAATGTAACACGACAAATTAATTCATGAATATGCATTAAAAATATTAATATTATTATGCAAAATATTTGTTTTAATGCAATTGATCTTGAACGAAGTTTATTTATTATATAATTAGGTTCAAATGCAAGAAGTGATCGTTGAAATGCAGTGAATCCATTTAACCAAAGACATATTCGAGTAAATATTGATGCTAAACCAGATATTATATTACAAATAAAAAAGAATGGTAGATAAGTAAGTGAATCTATTAACTGAAATAAACGACAAACAAGCATTATTAAACCAAATAATGAACAACAACTATATGTAAGTAAATAAATTCCAACTGTTGTTGATCTTATTGATGTTTGTCTAAATGTATCAATTGAAATAACATTTGATATTATACCAAATGTGACCATTAATGTAACACTAAACACATAAGCAAATGTCATTATATTCTGCTGATCGATGCTTGTTGTTCGAATATCTGTTTTCATACTGGATGCTAGACCAAGTAAAAATATATTTGTTGCATTATTACAAGTCATTGTTTGTATACTAGGTTATATGGTGCAGTGATAAGTAAGTAACTATATCTCCCTTTGTATATATGAATTTTGAAATTGTGACTCTCACCTTTAATGAGCTAAAAAAATAGAGAAAAAAAATATTTTAGTTAAAAATGTCTTCAGCAGGCGTAATAATGAATTTGATATTAGAAAGGTATCAGATTTGTTTCCATTAATACTCACAATAACTAGAAAAAATAATTATATATTCCAGAAAGATGAGAATGGCGTCGAAATATTTTATGTCAAAAAAATTAATCCTTTCCAAGAAGTCAAAATGAGCTCTTTTTTTGAATGATATTATTTATATTATTAAAATATGTCGAGATTAGCGCTGAGTACTTTTTTCTTTGTGTAAATTTCAGATTTTGTCTTCTCAATAAAAGTTTCTATTAAATGAAATGAGCAGATGTCAAGTAGAATTAAGATTTAGATAAAATAAAATTACATCTGAAAAAAATCTTGAGAATGTGGGTGTGTAGTCTCTCCTATCGCCTACATCTCCACAATGAGTAGAAAAAAAACAGTCAGAAGTAATTTTCAGTTACCTGATGCTTTTGAATCAGGATTATGCATGCTCTAATGAGCGCTGAGCATTATGAAATGAGTTTGTGGTCTTTCTTAGATCGATCTGAAAAATCACAGTTTTCAAACGTTGCACAGTGAATCATTTATAGAAGAAAATATTATATATTTCTATTTAAGAATAGAAGTGAATCTGAATAAATTAATAGAAATGTTGTTTGCAGTGTTTAAAATAAATCATCGTGATTTGTATATAATTTCGACAAAAATAATTGATATTAACTGTTGTTATCTAAAAATACTGTCAAGTCAAATATTATCCTACCTTATTATAAAAGCTTGTTTCGATTTAATAGATTTTGTCTTTGTATAACTGATGTCAACTAGAAATCATTTCATTACTCTAATAAATAAATCTTAAAAGTATAAGTATGGATGAGGGTTTTGATACATCAAGCATGAAGATCGACAAGAAACTCATTTTCACTTTCACATCAAAATATTTAAACTATGATTCATTTAAGCATACAGAAAGCTTTGTAAGAACTGTTTATATTAAAGATAACAGATAGGTAGTATAAAGGAAAGTCTACAATCTAAAGGTATCTTTTTTTTATGTGAAAAAATAGGTATGTGTATGACTATAAACTCGTATTCATTCATTGTCGCTTATATTGCTCTTATTTTTGTTTTCGTTAACAGCGATGATTTTTTCTTAATCCTCAGAATGTTTTGATATATTCACCAATAAATTTTTTTTCTTTCCTTATCTTTTTATACGCACATTGCATGTCAATTCAATGATACATACAGTACTTCAAAGCATCAGTCGATCGATTTTTTTACCGAAATACTTGCAGATAAAATAAATCGTATAGTAATTACATCATATTCTTATTGAAGATGAAAGATTAAACACGTGCTTTTCTGAGTTGATATATATATTGGTAAATATCGAGAAGAAAAGTATGGAATCTACTCAAGTGATTATTGTTGGTGGAGGTGTTGCTGGTCTTGCTGCAGCAAAAAATTTAGGAACTGGAATCAAGTATGTTTTGATCGAAGCACAAAATTATCTAGGTGGTCGAATTCTTACTGTTGATGCAGGTAAAATTGAAAAAAAACGCAGTTATGATTCATTCATTCATTTTGTTTGTTTCATGTAGCACCTGATCTGTTTATCGACATGGTAAACTGACATCCGAATTTCTTATGTAGATAAAGATGTAATTGATTTTTAGGGTGCTCAATATGTACTTGGAAATAAAAGTGCACTCTATAATGTTTGTAATGAATTAAGAATTCTTTTTAGAGACGATGATACTCCTGATGGTATGTAATAGGATAAGCTCATCTCGTTTATTATAGATGGGATCGAATGGACTATGTTCAGGAGAATATTTAATACGTTTTATTTTTATATAGATGCAGTAGTTGTGACGACAGAAGGAAAAATAATAAATTCTGAATTGATGGATAAAGCTGCTGATTTCTGGGAACGATCGATCGACGAAGCAGCGGATAAATTTGATAGTCGAAAAGCAAGAAAACCTATTTGCTTTGCAGAATTTGTTCCGAGACGATTTGAAAAACGATTAGTATCATCTTCATTATTTACACAAAATTTAATCGAACCAATAACTAATTATTTCATAAAGTTGGAAATGACTGATGCCAATTGTTCTTCATTATACGATTTAAATTTAATCGGTAAGTCAATGATATTATCTATTTGATTTTAACCGCAATCATCTTTTATATACAGAATATAGTAACTATGAAAATCCGCCAGGTGCATATGAAAATGAGTTAAAAAATGGTGGCTATCGTCCATTTATTAATTATCTCAAATCTTTTATACACAATGATGAACAAATTCGTTTAAATTGTGAAGTAACTCGAGTTAAATTTCTTGCCGAAGAACGTAAATTATTAGTAGAAATCAATGATCTACAGAAACAACAGACGAAAACAATGCTATGTGATCATATGATTTGGACAACATCATTAGGTTATTTGAAAGATCATTTTCGTAGGATATTTACCGATGAAAAAGATTTAATTCAACAGAAACAAAATGCCATTGCTAATATTGGTTTTGGACTATTGAATAAGGTATAATTTTTCTTCAATAATTTATCATTGAATTAATTCTCAGCATTTTAGGTAGTGCTTATTTACACGAAAAAATTTTGGCGAGAAAATGCGGATAGTATTAAACTATTACATACTGGAAAAGTTAAAATATTTGAAATGTCTGATTTGTTACGACATCAAGTGTATACTGAACGAATCGATCCAAATGTCGTTCAAGAAATTGCTCATGAATTGTCTTATTGTGGTGTTTTACCATCCACGAATATTCCAGTTTTGATTTGTTGGTTTGCTGGTCCAATAGCATTAGTAATTGAAAATCTCAATGAACAAATAGTTGGGCAGATTTGTCACGAAACGATTTGTAGCTATTTAAAAGTTGATCAGAATAGCTATCCGCTAGTTAGAACACTCAAGTAAGTTAAGGATTTATTCATTTGTTGAATATTACCATTGATTTTATCTGTAGAAGTGAATGGCATAGTAACAAATACATTCGAGGATCTTATTCATATCAATCCATACATTCAAACAAACAAGATGAACATGAATTACGAGCTTCCTATGCACCAGATGGGGTATGATTATTCAACGATATTTTTCAAAAACTACATTAGATTTAAAGTCTTTTTCGAAACTCATTTTTGAAGAAGAGGGACAAGAAATTTCTCATAAAAAAATACTCAAAATGTATTGAAATTGTTAATTCATGTTTCTAAGAAATAGTATCATCTATTATGTGATCAACGAATTTGAAGGAAATTGCTTACTTGTTTTTACGGATTCATTCTAGGTTCAAAGAATTTTATTTGCTGGCGAAGCAACACATGAACAGCATTATGGTACGGTCAATGCTGCATTCGAAACTGGTATTGAGGCGGCTAAGAAAGTCTTATCAATCGTCAATTCAAGACAGTAACTTATGTTTCTTAATAATCATAAAAAACGTTTCTTCGATCAGACGAATATATTGTGTATTCTCTTATTAAATATTCTATAAAAGGACGTAGACAACTATTATTCATTGATTGAATGTTGCTGATGAGGTGTGAATGTATGTATCTTCTTTCGATCCGAATTCAAATCTACATTCATATCTTCATATTTTAATAGTAAAAACAGATCGACTTTCCTTACAAATTATGCAATCGTTTAAGCCGATACTAACCGAGAGACTACTGAATAAATTGTATAGACTTGAAAAGTGATTTTTACAACAACAACAATTCATAGCAAAAGAGTGAATGTAGAAAGAACAAATTGTATCTGAAGAAGACACGTCATTTATTTATTTATTTCATCTGCAAGATTCTTCACACACACCGCTAAATCTTTGCTTGTTTTATTGAGTTATTCGCGACGTCATCTGATAGTATCATTGACCTAAATCGAAACGCCCCATGTTAGTTAGTTCGTCGAAATTATTCAGCATTTTGTGTTAAATTCTATTGAATTGTTTTGAGATCACATCTATTCTGACCCTCACCCACACCCTCTTCTTCTTTCTGAGCTTAGAAAATGACGATTTAAATCGTCCAAAGGTCGAATATTTCTATCGACAAAACCATAACTGATTCTAACTCGATTATTTTCTTTGAAATATCTTTGCTTTTATTTCTTTTTTTTTATTGAAAATAAAGTCTCTATTTATTTTAGAGGCATGAAAAGCATCAGCAAGGGTATAGGAGAGGGTTAATACTATTTTTGGGAGTACTAAATAGGATTGACGGCTGTCTGGAAATACTAAAATCTAATATTTGTGGTGTAGGAAACTGTTTTTTCTATTGTACGCAAAACGGCCATCATTATTGTTACTTTGGTGTTACAGCTCCGAATAATGACGAAGGTGTAGAAAAAGTTGTACCGAACGAGAATGTAGGTACAGTGTTAAGTGCCGGAAAAGCGAATGAAGGTTGATTAACAGGTGCTGGGGACGAGAATAAACTTATATTACTGGACTGAAGCGATGATTTGATTGCTTTTGATGAAGATTTCGGAATAGTCGTTGATATAGGAGGACTAGGACTGATAGTGCCGTTATCAGTGATATCCGATAAAGTCTTCTGTATTGTCGGCGAAAGGTCTGTTGAATCTTTGTCAATATCGATGAAATTGCTGAATATGTCATTGACATATGTTGTTTCATCTTGATTCAGTATTTTGTAAACTTTCTCTAATGTTGCTTCTGTTGTTTGACATTTCTTTCTTTTGTTTCGAATGAAATCATCATCAGCTAGGTATCTATCCACTAAGGCAGGATGTTCAATTGGTATCCGTCGTAAACGTTGTTGTATAGCAGGACATATAGTAAACACACATCCTGCACGTAAAGATAATGTTACATAGTCTATAAAACGTTTCGTCAATAATTTCCAATATGAATATAAACTTAGTAACATTTGTTTTACGGCTTGAGAATCAGATGAACCTAGTTTGTATGTAAGCACATCGTCTTCATCACCAAAATCATCAGAATGTGCACTTGTCGACGAAGGTGGTTTTCCAAAGGGACTGTTAATTTCCGGTGGTGGTCCTTTGTATTTTTCAAATATATACAGGTCGATTACGTTATTTTTAATAGTTTTGCGTCGTTTACTGTATTTATGCACCGCATCAAAAAATTTTTATTTTACCGCAGTTGGATAGGGCTTGAGCTCTTCTATCAAAACATATAATTTGTTTATAAGTTTCTCACTCTCTAGCCCAAAATTTCGTTAAATCTCAAATATATGTGAATTTTTTTTTTAAGAGTGGTCGTCACGATTATTAATAGTTTTATTTTCAATATATAAAATCAAAAAAAACGATAATTACAATCGATGTTCGATATGAGAACCTCGAGCTTGATATATCTTGAAGATCCTTCTTGGCCAGGAAGCTAATACTCTGTCGATATACGTCTGACTCATCTTTCGCCACTCATACAAAATCTCCTTTTTAAGTTCATCAATAGAATCAATACGTTTTTTATTCAGCTGTTGTTTCGTATGTCCCCAAATTGAATAATCCATCGGTGCAGCATCAGGACTAGCAGGCATCCATTCTTGTGGTGTAATATAATGAATTTTGTTTCGATTCAAAAATTTAATTGTTTCTTTTGCAGTGTGACTTGGTGCCGAATCTTGATGAAGAATCCATTTTAATTTTTTTCCTTTTGGAAATAAACGTGGAACATCTTTTGCTAAAAATGGCTTTAAAACGTTGTTAATGTAATAATTTGAATTGACTTTTGTACCAGGTGTAACAAAACGAAGTTCAGCTTTTCCTTGACTTGATACACCTCCCCACACCATAAAACCTTTTGGTCGACAAGTGTTTTGTTGAATAATCATTCGATCATAGTCGGGATCAGTTTTTCTAATGTAACATACTTTTCTTTTCCCACGAGTTCCATCCAAATAAAACCAAGTCTCATCTGTTGTAATGAAGTTCTTATATCGACCACGTGCTAATCGACGATATAGATTAAATGATCGTTGACCACGTTTCATAACATTTGATGACGTTAATTTTTGAACTTTTTGTTTCTTTCGAAGAGTAAATCCTGAATTTCTGATAATGTTCGAAACAGTCGATTGGCTAATACGAAGGTCTTTAGCAACAGCACGTTGAGTTGGTGGTTCTTGGACATCAATCTTTTTAATGACCTTCTTAACAATATCGGGTGTTTGTGACGGTTTTTGTCGAAAAATTGTAATTTTTGATGTGGAATTTCTTTGACGACCGATCTTTTGTTTGACGTTTGACACAGTAGGTTGAGATACATATATGCCATCATGTTTCAAAATGTTCACAATACGAGACTGAGAATATCCCTGATGTAATAATTGTAAAATACGTCCTTCGACAATGTCAGAAATTTTGTTACGTGGCATTTATTTAAAATGAATTTTAACGAATTGAACTAACGAAAAAGGCGATAATTGTCATAGAGAGGAAAGAAAAAAATTCGTTCAATATATGATGCGCACGTGCGATCGGCCATTCTATTAAGCATACGAGAGGTAGTCTATGTATGGAAAATAAAACTATTAAAAATCGAGGGAACAACCTTCAAAAATTTTTCTTAGTGACTGCTTTAGCTCGATCTGAATTTTGGGCTAGAGAGTGAGAAACTAATAAACAAATTATATGTTTTGATAGAAGAGCTCAAGCCCTATCCAACTGCGGTAAAATAAAAATTTTTTGATGCGGTGCATAAATACAGTAAACGACGCAAAACTATTAAAAATAACGTAATCGACCTGTACATATAAGCAGTATTAATTGTATATGGTTCATGTTCCTCCAATAGAACTAGTTCCTTTAATTGATCCTGTACCTTATCTTTCTTTTCCTTCATATATGAAGAGCAAACATCGCGAAATAAGTTAATCAATTTAGCTAGCAAAGGATTGTCTATGCATGCTGCGTCTTCAGCTTTTCGCAGTTGGATCATTGTCGTACGAAAACAATCGAGAATGAGTTTTTCTGTTTCATTCCATAGTTGATCAAGGTTTTCTGTTACGAATTTTTTCAAGATTGCACTAGACAGAAAATTTGGTAATTGGTCTCCAGAATATCCTTTCATTTCTTCTTCGACTTTTGAACAATATGCAGGCGAAAATAAGTCTCCTCGTTGTTTTCTTACTGTTAATCGATAGGATTCAAATTTTTTATGTAAAATGTGTGTCACTGTTCCTTGCCGAGCATCATTCGAAGTCATCAGGTGGGATTTTAATATCTTTTCGACATATAAGTCAACTGTTTCATTATACACGACTACACGTTCTGTAGGTGTTTGTAAATGTGGAGGTAAATTCGATAGTTGCTGTTTGACATCTTTCAACCGAGCTTGTATATCCTGTCTCAATTTTGGAAACATTTCTTTCACACGATCAGAATACACAGTCGCGAGACGATCAATTAGGGACTTAATGCCAACACAATCCCATCCAGCAGCAGTTGACGCTGGATGTTCAGCGAAAAATTCTTTTTCTCTTACGTGAGCTTCCTGTAGAGAAATATTTTCCTTTGTAGTACGATTACGAACGGCAACAAAACCGAGTTTTAGATGAAGTACATCATGTCTATCCATTAGCAGTTGTTGTACTAACATATCTTGATCAGTAGCTAAATCAGATTTTGTTATTACACCAATTGTTCGTTTTCCTGTTGGATCGAATTCGCGTGCTAATTTGAATGATTGAACTGTTGCAATATCCACATTAGCCGGAAAGACACATAAAATAACACTACCTTCTTGTGTAATAAATTCACGAATTAAATTTATTGTTTGTTCATAAATATCTTCAGGCTGACCAGCTATTGGATTATGTGCAATACCAGGTAAATCAACGAGTGTTAAATCACGCACATCAGGATCTTCAACCTGTAATTCAATAATGTTTCTAACAACATTTTTATTATCACCAGCCAACTTCTTAGTTTCTTCTTCAATGTATCGTGGTATATTTAAATCTGCTTCATTCAGAATCTCTTTTTTATTCTCATGACTATCATCGTGTAAACGATAGACTCGTCTTTCATCAGATTTTCGTAATCTTAATACTAATGGATATCTAGTAACAATGCCATTGCCTTTTGGAAGTTCGACTAATGATAAGGATTCTAATAGCGACGATTTACCACTCGATTGATCGCCAAGGGACTGTTCAAGTATTACGTTATCAAGTTTAGGGGGAGGAGGGGACAGCCAATGATGATATTTGATAACTCAGGGGAGGCGAGGGGAGGGGTCGCTCCAATATTACGTTACATAAGAAATTTTTTTACTGTAGTGCTATGAATTATAGAACTTTGATATTATTTAGTATTATTTTTGTAATTTTTATTTATTTATTGTTTCTGTTTGGATTAGTTGATTGTGAACTACAATGTGAAAATAAATATATGTATCAAACAATTAATTTATCTTTTAACTTTACCCAATACTTCTGTAATAAGAAAAAATACTCTAAAGATTACGTTATCAAGGGAACGACGACGACATTCGGAAAAGTAATACCATAATTACCGGGTGCTAACAATGTTCGAGCTTGATCGATTTTGTCCATAAGAGGACGAATTTTTTCGTCATATGTATTTGCAAATGTAGCCATTTGATTAAAATATGTGTCCAATGATAGTAAGCCGAGAACACGATTCGAGCAGAATTATAATTCCTAAATATGTTTGAATTGAATGCTAAAATAATAGTCGAATAACAGAATTTCTTCAAGTTCCGTCAGAGCTGACAAACCCTTAAATAGCTCTTCTTCCATATATATATATACGGGTAGAGTTAGAAGTGCTCAAAGCTTAAGTGCAGTCTATTTCTATATATGGACCTGGTGCTCTAAGGCAGGACATTTTCAGCTGGCTTTTTAGAGACGAATGGCATGAAAAAGATTTGATTAAAAAGGAAAAGACTATTCACGTTTAATATGAATCTTTGAAAGTTTTGTATTCAATCATGTGACGTCAGTATGAAACCTAGAAGGCTATATATCGAACCTAACTAGCTCAACGATTTCTATAAAAAGAATGCTTCTTATGTCCCACGAATCTCAAAAACGTTTCGTAGTAAAGTAATAGAACCACCATACATTACACAGGTTTTGTAAAATATCACCAGGTTCCCTAATTCACCTATCTTTGCTAGCAGTGAACTCTATTGGAATCTCAACTAGAGGTGCCAGTTTCTAGTTCTATGGTGTGAGTGTAGGTTGACTTTAATGGGGATCTGTCGGTGATTAGTCTCTTCTTCTACAAAACTAGACGATCGAGCGAAATAATGAATAATGTATTCTCGAGAATCTAACCAGACAGAGTGAATTCGGGGAAAGAAAATTCAGACAAAAAGAAAGAAACACTGCGATAAAGAAAAAAAAAACAAACAGAACAGAAAAATTCATCTCTATACCAAAAAGAAAAAAAAAGAAAAGGTGAGAGTGTGATGAAGAAGAGACTAGAATTACACATTATCAAGCATAATGGCCAACGCAGAAAGGTCTACTCTCAGACAGATATGATAAGTTTTGTTTTGTTATCAATAGCAATAGCAGAAAAATATTTTTATTATTACTACTAATGACAATAACTTTTCATTCGTAAGTGGACCAAACTGCGATTTGTGACGATTTCTGGCAGAAGAAATGTTTGTACTGATGGTATTACACTTTATTATATTTCTTCTTATCAAAAATCTCATCGATTGCAAACAAAACATGCACTTATATATTCGCACGTAAGAGAGAACAGGACAATAAGGACGAAAGCATAAGAATAAGACAAACATTGTTACATCCTCAGGTTATTTCCTTTTGCTGGTGCTAAGGTATATGAGAATGAGCCTGTTTTGCTAATCGTTATTATCACGACTAGTTGAAAACTCTACTAAATCGATAAGTACTCGAATTCATCTTCAGTCTTCACATCTATCCACCAAAAAACAAAAAAACCATACTTACTACTTTCTACTGAGTTATTAAATAATTTCCTACTCTTCGTACGAAAGCGATAATGATTTTTTTCTGAAAAAAGAAAATGTAACAATGAGAGTCAAAAATATTCCTTCCGATATTAAGAGTGTAAGAATGATCATAGACAAGTTTTTTTCCCGGAAAAGAGTCTAAGAATGAGAATAAATAAATTTTTTTCTGGAAGGAGAATGCAGAAATGAGTGAAAAAAGATTCTTCCAACAAGAAGAATATAATTACGATGGCAGACAAGTTTCTTTTCGGGGAAGGAGTCTGTGAGGATGGGAATAAATAAGTTTTTTTTCTGGAAGGAGAATGCAGAAATGAGTAAAGAAAATTTTTTCCAACAAGGAGAATATAATTATGGTAATGGGCAAGTTTTTTCTGGGAAAAAGTATAACAACACAAGGAATCCTTGCAGAATCTTTGTCAAATTCTCAAGGATTTAGAACGAAGGTACGAACGAGATGTCATAAGAAATACGACTCATTTTTTAAATTTATTATACTCTTCACGTCTTATACATTTTGACATTGTTATAAAAAGCTGAATAGAACATGTAGATGAAGTTAGCAGCCGATTCGAGTTTTTCTATATAATATTCACCTGACAACTTGTGCCACCTATCGTTTGTTGTGTGCCAGATAGAACTCGACGAGCTCTATCAAACGGTATCCTTAGACTTTATACTAACCTCATGGAACGTTTCATAGTTATCAAAAAGTCTTTTTTCTCCATGGGAACAATTTCATAAAAACTGTATTTCCTTAAATTATTCGCTCTCTCGCACTAAAATTTACAAACAAACATATATTCCTATGCATCTCGACTTGCTCTATCGATTGATATGCTCCTTTCCACCTGTCAACTAACCATTTCAATACACTTGCATGAAAAACGTCGAAAATCACCA